CTGGTTGGATAGATTAACATTTAGAGAAATTGAGTTAATTAATGAAAGGGAGAAGAGAGCATCTGAATATTTATATTTAATGATTGAGTTTCCAGAAGTTACTATGGACAGCATACCGGTAAAAAAAATTTACTAATATTTTACTTCATACGTTTTATACATGTATTTCCCTTTTCTTCTTGCTTTTATTTGTGACATATTCAAATATGTTTTTTTATTCTAGTACTCCATAGTGTACTATGAAAAAGATGGGGATGAAGTTGTTCAACATAGATCACAGCCAGATGTTGTAACTCTACCAGATTATGAAATTTTACAAGTATGATCATAAATTATTATGTATTGGCACAGAATTACTCTCTAAAAAGATGTAAAAGTATCAACATACACTGTTCAGTGTTTTAAAAATTTTATTATAAACAAAATTATAACAGATTATACAAACACACAGCACTATTCATAAATATATCTATTTTTATATTTCATAGACATTTTCATTATTAGGAAAATCTTGTGGAAGCAAAACATCATAAGTTGGCTCGAAGTTTACGTAGCGGTGGTCATACCAGAGAATTAAAACCAACTTCAAGTGTTCGTGATGCTTTAAATATAATATTAAGTTATCCACCTACAACAGCACTTTCTACAGAGGAACAAGATCTTATTTGGAAGTACAGATTTTATTTATCAAGTCAAAAAAAAGCTTTAACAAAATTCGTAAAATGTGTAAATTGGAAAGTTGCCGGAGAAGAGCGACAAGCCTTAGAAATGTTAGCATTGTGGGCACCACCTGATCCCGAAGATGCACTGGAATTACTTGGTCCAGCATTTACACATCCAGCAGTTAGAAGATATGCTATTGCTCGACTTAATCAAGCACCTGATGATGATTTAATGTTATACTTACTTCAATTAGTACAAGCTTTAAAATATGAAGATTTTGAAAGCATTAAAAGGGCACATCAAACGTTAATGAAGGAAAAAGAATCTGAAAAAATTGAGAAGTTAGACAGAGATGTACAAATCAATGATTCTCCATCTACAGCTGTAACAACTGTAAGTAATTGTATGATACAAATATCGAATTTCTAATTTATTACAAATAGTACACAATTTACAGTCCAGTGAATCTGAAAGTGGACACTTCTCAACAAGTCAAGATTCTCTCATGGATTTAGCATCTTTTCTGATTACTCGTGCATGTCAAAATACCACACTGGCCAATTACTTCTATTGGTATCTCTCTATAGAATGTGAAGACCAAAGTGATCCATCCATAAGTGCAAAACAAGACACACGTGTCAAAGAAATGTATAATACTGTAATGTCAATGTTTTCAACAATGTTATCACAAGGGAATGCTGTTTGGCAAAAAAGAAGAGCATTTCTTTTACGTCAAAAAATGTTTATCGATCAGTTAGTAGCATTGGTGAAAGCGGTCGCACGAGAAAGTGGAAATCGTAAAAAGAAGACTGATAGACTCAGAATATTATTAGCAGATCCGGATCCAGCATTTAAAATAAATTTTTCTAATTTTGAACCAATACCTTTCCCCTTGGATCCAGAAATTTGTATCAAAGGAATTATTCCTGAAAAGTGTGTATAATCTCTTTTATGTGGTAATGAATATTTATACTTCAATAAATTAAACTATTCTTTTAGGGCCAGTCTTTTTAAATCAGCTCTTATGCCATCCAAATTAACATTTTTGACAACAGATAACAGTGAATACATTGCAATCTTTAAACATGGTGATGACCTCAGACAAGATCAATTAATTTTACAAACAATTGCACTCATGGATAAGTTATTAAGAAGAGAAAACTTGGATTTAAAACTCACTCCTTATAGGTACATATTTAAAAAATAATGTTTGCAAATATGTTATATGATTTAAAATATAAATTAATTTATGTTTAGGGTACTTGCAACGAGTACTAGGCATGGTTTCTTGCAATTTATCGAATCTACAACAGTTGCAGAAGTTCTAGCTAGTGAAGGTTCTATATTAAGTTTTTTTCGAAAACATCATCCTTCTGAAAATGGTCCTTATGGTGTTGTACCTGAAGTTATGGATACTTATGTTCGAAGTTGTGGTAAGAAATACGATTTTATAAAATAATTCATATTAATTTGAATTAAAAAGACGAATATAAAATGACGAATTTGCAGCTGGATATTGTATTATTACGTATGTACTCGGTGTTGGTGATCGACATTTGGATAACCTTCTCTTGACAACGTCAGGTAAATTTTAAATATAAAAAGGATAAAAGAGTATTTAATGAAATTAAATAATATTTATATTTCAGGTAAACTTTTCCATATAGACTTCGGTTATATTTTGGGTAGAGATCCGAAGCCTTTGCCACCACCAATGAAATTAAGCAAAGAAATGGTCGAAGCTATGGGAGGTGTAAACTCGGAACATTATCATGAATTTCGAAAACAATGTTATACCGCATTTCTACATTTACGCAGACATGCAAATTTAATATTAAATTTATTTTCACTAATGGTTGATGCTAGTGTACCAGACATAGCGTTAGAACCAGATAAAGCTGTAAAAAAAGTTCAAGACAAACTAAGATTGGATTTAAGCGACGAAGAAGCAGTGCATTATGTACACAATCTTTTGGACTTATCAGTAACAGCTGTAATGGCAGTATTAGTGGAACAATTACACAAGTTTGCACAATATTGGCGGAAATAAAACAAAATCAATCGAAATAATGATTGTAAAGACTGTGTTCCTTTATAACTATTGCAAATATTACTATATTGTATATAAATGGCCATACATCTATAAATGTAACATAATTTATTGTATTTTGGGATTATTTTAGGTAATAAATCTTTGATAATAATAACAAATAATTGTAGTTTTTATGTTTATAAATTGCATATATAAATGTTTAATATGCCGTGCGATCACAATAAAAAATTTATATAGCAATACTGCATACTGCTATGCAGATAACCGATATTTTTTGATAATTTTCATAAAATATAAAATTCAAAATACAATAGAAACGTTGTTTATTAATTTGTTACGAAAATACAATAAAAAAAAAAGGAAAGTAAACATTTTTTACACATGAAAGTTTATTGTAATGGGATAATTTCAAGTAATGAAACAACAAAAACATATCCATTGCATATATAATTTGTTACGTAAATATTCATGTATTTATTTTATCTCTTAGTTACAATCGTGTATGTGGTGCACACTGTAGAAATAAAAAGATAATATTGTTAGTGATGAAAATATCAAATTGTTATCCATATAAGAACGCAGTAATGCTATTTTAATCAGTATCACTTTATGCCACTTAGATTTGATTACTTCAACGAAGTAATACACATATATCCCAACTTACGATTGTATCAGAAAGTTTCAATAGAAAATGTAACTATATTTTCCCCATTTCACAGTATTACATACTATTTATAGATACAGAAATTTTTATAATATAGTTCCTTTGAGTGGAAGATATATGTACACGTGTATTTATGTCGGTATATATATATGTATCGATTGAATTTAAAGAGCAATTAAGGAATATTAACAATTCAGTCCATCTTTGAAAATTTATCTGGTTAAATTTATCCAGAATATTCTACCAAATTTCTGTTCCTCCAAGTACAACATATGGTAGTTAATAACTTCCTTCCCCTAACAATAATAAAGTATATACACGCGTGATCATGATTGAAAACGCCACGAGAAATAAAAACAAATTTATTTTTAATAACATGAGTTTATAAAGAATATAATATAACCGTCCTTATTAGAGTGCGTTAGCAAATCTGTCTTGTTTGAAATTTACATGGTTTCTAAAAACATCATTTGCTTTAAATTACATTAATAAAACCATTAAAATGCATACCTTGTTCATGCATTACATATAAGCATATGTGTAAATTTGTTCACATTGTAATATGTAATATTTAGATTAATTTAAATATTTTACAGAAATAAAATGATCTCATTTACAATAAATGGTTTATTTCTACTAATTATACGAATAATTATTTTTAAATTACTCCTTTGTAACTATTAACTAATTTCAGACATGACAGATTTCCTACTAAATCCTTTTATCCTTTACATTTCATCAGCACACAGATTACACATCATTATAATTGAAATAATAGACTTCTTTCTCTATAAATGTAAATTATTACCTACAAAATAAACAATGTACGTGTAATAAATCATTCCTTGATTTTCTCAATTATCTACACTTGTAATTATAACAAAAGACATCTGAAAAATCAAATCTTTAAGTGATAACCCCAAAAAGTTTTTACTTGAATTTTAAAAATAATTTAAGGCGTACATTATTAGTACTTTATTGAAGATATATTGTGCATTTATTTTTATACAATTATTTAAACTTATTTTTTCTTACGTCAACCAAAAATCGCTCATTATGACTTGTCACTACGGAGTAGTAGTAAAGTCTTACTTTTTTCTTCCGATTCTTATTTGATTCTATCTTCAATAAAAACTCGTCATAATGTACAAATATTCTACAATTGTTTCATATTTCCTCACTTGATGTAACCGTAAATTAACGATTGACAGCACAAATGTATTTTCGCTGGAACATAACGAAAGCTAATAACTAATAATTAATAATTGTTACTACTACTCCCATAAGTCAAAGTAAAATTTTACAACATACAGATTGTATGTGCATTGTATTCAGAAACGTATAGTAATAATTTTTTATATGACACAGTACTAGTGTCCAGTTGAAAGAAAGGAAAAAAGTTATAGATGATATTCTAATTCAATATACCGAAAATCTTATATTATTTCAATATATTAAACAAGATGAATATAGTAAGATCATAATGTCTTTGTAATGAAACCATAGCTTTTTTTGTAATTACACTGCTTACATGTCGAATTCAATATACGAATTGCATCCGTTGTTGACATATATACATATAAAATTATAGTAAAAATATAATTTTAATCTTATGCCTAGTCACTTATCATCTTAATATTATATTTACATTTGAAAATAGACTCGAGTTTATCTATCAATGGCTACAATGTCCATTAGTCTATGAAAACAAGGATTCTCCTCATAGCACAATGCTATTTCCCATGATAATGTATTACCTTTCTGTAGGCCTAGTGGCTGGTACAGAACTTTCTACAAGATCGTGCCTTTCTATTGGTGAATTTTCTAATGGGTAATCAACTGGATACCTTTCTGTATATGTTGGAGTAGCTTCTCCCTGTTGTGTTAATTTTAATTCATCAGACTGTTCTTGGTAAAAACTTTGGGATGCCTCGATATTTTGTGAAGAGGATTGCTCTGATTTTTCTATATCATCTGCAGAGTAGTAACTTTGACTTGCTTCACCTTCTGGTCTATGATCATAATAACTGGGAGATACGTTATGACTGGAATAACTTGGTGTAGCTTCTTCAGGAGTAAAGTAACTTTGACTTGCTTCTTGTGGATTACCATCATAATAGCTGGGAGTAACTTCCTCTTGTGGGTCTTCATCCAATCTAGAATTTGTTTCTTGTCCCACAGATTCATAATAACTTGCTGTTACTTCCTGGTGATGAGTGTAATAACTGGATGGTTCATTTCTATGATCTGTACTTTCTGTAACAAAATTCTGGGAGGGAGTTTCTTCTAGGCCAGGCATTGAAATAGGTACTTCATAAGAAGTTGATACATTTTGCTCTTCATAGCTAGAAGTTGGTACAGAATCTACATGAGTTGAAGTAATGTCCGGATTTAAATTATATGAAGATGTAGGTATTTCAGGTACTCCATTGTCATGGATACTTGTATGCTCTGCACTAGATGATGCAATATTCAATTCAGCACATGGTGGAATTTCGCAAGATGATGTACTTATTGCACTTTCTTGATCTGGATCCCTTTCTTGGTTCTCAGGTGTTTCTGGAACATAAGACGAACTTGCAGTTTCGTCCTCGTTAAGTCCAGAATTATTTGTAGAAACTGAGGATGTACCAATGCCATCAGTACCGATATCATTAGATTGAGACGGCATGTTTCCTTCTTGACTAATTTCAGCGTCTGTTTCCAAATTTTCTGGAATATTTTCAACTTTACCAACTTCGTAACTTTGTGTTGGAAACGTTTGATCATCGATCGCTTCGTCAACAGTTGATCTTTCTTCCTGACTTTGCATTAGTTCATTGAAAGATTGCGTAGGTGCATTTGTACTTGCTTCTGCGGAAGTTTCATACGATTGAGAAGCTTCATTGATCTTTGAATGCTCAAATGATTGTGTTGGTGGTTCTGTCACAATTGCTTCTTCGTCCGTTTCCATGGATTCATACGTTATTGATTGCGAGGGTTCTCTTGAATTTTCCGACTTTGTGGCAGATTGACTAGGTAGATCAGTAGAATCGGTGGTTCCCGCTATTCCAAACTGTTCGTATGATTGTGATGGGGTTTCATGGCTAGTCTCTGCGCTTGTTTCTTCAAAATGTAATTCTAAGTTTCTCTGAACCAGATTTGTCTCTCCCTGAGACGATGGTTCGTCTCTTTGACAATCTTCCGGTTCTTTTACCGTACTTGCAGCATAAATTTTAGGTTCAACAGTCTCATCTATATCCATGCTCTGTTCCTCCAAACGATTCAATGACTCTGCAGGTAAAATTTGTGCTTCCTCTTGAACTATTTCTACTTCGTTGGATGTTGCTGGTTGTTGTTCAGATACAGGAGAATGAGTCTTATTATCAGACTGATCATCGAAACTTAATTCCTTCAATTTTTTTATATTTTTTGATTCTTCCGAAGTATTTGTATCTATTTCGTTTGAATCCGAAACCTCAAAACTCGGGTGTTCTACTACAGGTGACATTTTTACATTGGATTCAGAGGTAACTAAAGCATTTTCGTCTATCATTGACACGCTACTCGTCATTGCATCGTCTGGCTGCTCCATAATTTGTACATGCACCACATTATCATTATTACTAACTTCTTCGCTCTGACTACCCGTTGCTACATTTGAATTATCTTCTTTAGCAACTGTTTCTTTCAAGGTTATTTCTTCTGGCTTAATGGAAATCTCTTGAGAAGAATATACTTCTTGCAAAGGCATTTCTACATCCTGTTCCTCATTTACGATGGAAGATTCGTTTGTTGACACAATAGGTTCTTGAGAGGATACAGAAACATTCTCAGATACTATCATTTCTGATGTTACAGTAATGTCTTGTGATTTCACAGTTTCTGTGGAAATAGAAGGTTTTGAAACAAGCATTGCAGAAACAGGTACATCTACAAAAGTCTGTTCTGTTGTCATTGGCGGTTCTATAGTCGTAGTAAATTGCACATTGTCAGCATAAGTATCATCTATTATAGGCATTGAAGGAGTAGTTTGAACTTGTGAACTTTGTAGAACTATATTATTTGGTATCGAAACTGAATATGAAACATTAGGCATTGAAATAGCACTGTTCGACACGCTCTGAGTTTCTACAGTGATATTATCTTCTAAACTTGGCAATACTAGATACTGAGTACTTGCAGGAATTTCCGTTCGAGCAATATCTGCTGTACTTGGACTTTCCATGATTTCTCCAATATCTGGCATAGAATTACCAGGAATCTGAATTTGTGCTTCACCCGTTGATATATATGAAATATTAGGATTTGTGATTGTTATCGGTAATTCGAGAGAAGTTGGGATGGTTGTCACAGCAGAAGTTGGAGTTAATTCTGACTGTATTGGCAAATTACTAGGTACCTCTAGAGGTGTCATTATAGGTTGATTTAAAGTCGTTGAAGTTTCAAGCACTAATGGAGAAGAAATTGGTTCTGTAGGAGGTATAATAGTTGACTGCAAAATAGTCTGATTGATTAAACTTGTTTGAGTTAAACCTGTGGTCATTACATTTCCTGCAGGATTATCTGTCAAACTGATCTCCTGTTGGAAATCTGTGTTTGCCAATGCAGCAGCTAGAATATCTTGATTCGATGTTTGCATTACTTCTGAAGTAGGAAAACTTTCAGATATAATTGTCTGAGTAGTTTCTGCGCCACTAGTTTGTATATTTGGTAATACACCATTGTCAAATTGAAGAACAATATTGTCCAATGTACCTGCCTCTCCCAATGAACTGGGATCTATGTACAGAGTTCTTGTGCCATCTGGATTTTGTGTAGTGCCTTCTAGTGACATAAGAGTATTATTATCAAGAGGTTGTATTTGTCCTTGTTCATCAATAGTTACAAGAACATAAGTTTGTGTCCCATCACTGCTTTCTGTTGGTAAAGCCATTATTTGTGGCTGAGTTGTTATTTTTGGTTCTTCAATCTTTTCTATTTCACCACCTTTGTCAATATTAAACTTTTCTATCTTAGGTTGCTCCTTTTGAACAGATTCAACAAGTACATTTTCTACTTTTGATTTCCTTTCAGATTCAATAGGCTCTAATGGTGGAAGAGACAAAGATGTAGAAAGATTTGTATTCACATTAGCTGCAGTGACCGAATTCATTGCAATATTCAGCAAATTTTTCTGCTGCTGTGTAGTAGTCTTATTCATTACGTGACCCTTTGTAGCAACCTTTGCAGCTGCAGTACTAACTGCTTGTTTATGCTGAATTGTTGTTTTAGATACATTTGGCACAGTTGTTAACGGTCCTGAGACCATTTGTTTCGATTGAATATTTTGTACAGTTGTAATTGTAGATTCTTGTACTTTTTGTGCAATTTTTTGTTGTGTTTTTTGTTGTCGATTACTACGAGGTATAATCATTTTTTGTATGGTTGATGTAGACACACCTTTTCCTTTGTGTTGAATTTGTGGATTTATACCTACTGTCTGTTGAGCAGTACCATGAGATGTAATATTTTGCATAGCAGAACCTGGTTGTACAACTGTTTGTTTAATTATTTTCTTTCCTTGCTGTATAGTCTTTTGTGTAGAAATAGTATTCTGTAATACTACAGTACTACCTCCAGTTTTCATTTGTCCAGATCTTCCTTGTGTAGCAGTAGACATTGATACCTTTTGTGATTTTTGTAACATAGGTAGCTGCACCTTTTGTTGTACAGATTGATATTGTACCTTATTGCCTTTAGATGGACTTTTTGCTGCAATAGCTTTTACTTGCTGTCCTGTTATTGGTGTCAAAACTGTTGCTTTAGTACTTACAATACCTTGTGCACTTAAAATCGTTTTGCCAGCAATAGCTTGAGATATAGGAGTTAAGATAGCTTTAGAAGTACCTAGATTCTGTGAAGATAAAATAGTTGCACCTTTTGTAACTAAAGCTTTTGATCCAATGATAGTTTTTCCACTTAATGCAGAAGCACTTATTGGGGTATAAATTCCACCTTTCGTGATAATTCCTTGAGATAACGTTCCTAACAGAGCAGTTTTTGCAATTGTACCTGAAATAGGAGTTAGAACTCCTTTTGAAGCTATTATACCTTGTGTATTAAAAATTTTATGTCCTGCAGGAAGCTTAGACGTTGTAGGTGAAACGCCATCCCCTTTTGGAGCAATTGTTTTTGAATTTATGATACCCTGTGGACTGATAGGACAAAATACTTGGCCCTTACTTGTCATTATTCTTTGAACTTTGCCACTCAATGTTTTAGAGATATTTAAAGGTAGCATTTTGGTTTGGCCTGATTGTGCTGATGTCAATATAACTACCTTACCACCTTGTTGTACTACCTGTGCATTTCCAGCACTTTTACCAGTCGGTATAGCAATTTTTTGTTGCGTGCCACTTTTTCCTTGAACGCTATAACGTAATTGTTGCCCTCCAGAAGTTTGTACAACTACATATTTTCCTGATGTACCCTTCTGTGTTAAAAGTGGTGGTACTTTGCTTGTTGCTGGTGTACTTTGGAATTTGATACCTTTTACGCCACCCGTAAGTGGTGGTACTAACGTTTTTATACTTGTAATTGTAGGTTTTGCTTTATTTTTATTCTTCAAGATTGCTGGAGTTCCACTCTTTTTCTTCGTAGGCGATACTTCACTTGTACTTTCATTCAATTTAAATTGAGTTTGAGTGGGTGATACTATCTGTGTAGTTGGTGTAAAAGACAATGTTGCAGGAATTGTATTAGATGCAGGTATAATGGAAGATATAACAACAGGCATTTGGTCAATATTTTCTGGAGTTAAAACATCTTCACTCAAAACAAATGGCATTGAATTTATGTCTAATTCCATATCTGCCAAGCTTTGTGAACTTTGCTGAATATATTTCTCTGTAGTAGTTGTAGTAGAAGTTTTTGAAGTTTTTACATTTAACTGTTCATTTTGTGCTTCTATCATTGCAGCTGTTTCTGCTTCTTCAGCTTTCAATACTTGTAACTTTTTGGTCAATGATAAATGTGGAGATGTAACCTTTAGACCAGTTTTCATTTTGGTATTTGAAGGTAAAGATTCAATTTTCATTATTTTGGCCTTTGGAGTTCCTTTCTGATCACCCTTTTTTGTACTTTCTGTTTCTAACTTGTGTTTTACTCCTTTCTGTGGTAATTTGTCTAGTAATTTCGATTTTAAAATTTGCATAGGTTCAGTTAATGTTATATTTTCAATTATTCTTGGCATTTCACGCTTTTTTACCGGTACGGTAACATCAGAAGATGGCGAAGGTGTAGAAGTTGACATTCTTGAAGATTCATCTACTTTTTGTATATCTAAATTTATAGATTTAGAATTATCTTCAGTAGAAGATGATTGAGCCAATGATTTAGACATAATGTTAAATTCATTTGGTGATGATGTAAGTTGATCAACATTTTGAAACATATTATCATCTACTTTTGTGTCAATTTCAAGATTTTGATCAACTACTACTTCTATACCTTCAAAATTACTCATAACCGTCACATGAGAATTATCTTGAGAAAGATTGGGAAAACTTTCTGCAATATTTGAATCTTCAACTGTGGTTGTCGTCGTGCTTTGAATTTTTTCAGCAGAAACACTTGTATCTTCTTCTTCTTCAGGCTTTTTCTTCACTAATTTTTTACCCTTCTTTCCTTTCACAGTTGTATCAGAATCTTCAGTTGTACCTTTCTTCTTGTCCATATGTAAAGTTTTTAAGAACGCTTCTTGGAATGTATTTGTTGATTTTTCTTCAGGAAATAATTCTTTGTCTTTTTTTAATTTAGCACCCGTTTCTGGTGTAAATTTTCCTTTATATCTTGTTTGCATAGATGCTCCTTTTTGAGTTTGTTGCTCACCTAATATGCTTGTTAGATCTTTAGATACTTGTTCTAGGTTTTTTAATTTAACTTCTTGTTCTTCTTTCTTTACTGTTTCAATTTCCATTTGTTGAACTTCGTGTTTTACATTTACAATATCTTCACCATCTTGAATTTTATTTTCTTCCTTTATTTGGCTTGCATCTTTTATAGTTTCTACATTCTTTGCATCTACTTCAACTTTTTCTGGAACAAGATTTTCTTTCTGCTTTGAAGAATTAATTGATTCTGAATCTGTGCTGGCTTTCTTCTTTTCTTCACTTTCTTTCCCACTGTCTAATTCAAAATCTGTACTGAATTTATTAGTAGAAGCATCAGTATCAAAAAAATCAATTTGTGATAACTCAAACTTTTTTATTTGAGATTTTTTAGGAGGAAGCATATCAACAGTTTTTGAAGCATCTGATTGTTGAGATGCTTCTTTCTCCGATAAAAGTTCCCGTTGAAGTGTACTCGAAGATTCTATATTAAAACCTTTTAAATTTTCTTTTTGAAAATTGTTTGATCTTAATATATTTTCATTTTCATTGTCTTTTGTTTTATCATGCTCAAGGATTGTACCTTCTGCTTTAGTGGTACTATCCTCTGCTGTTACAGATTTTGTATCTTCAAGAATAGATCCTTTTGATACTATTTCTTCTTCCTCAGACATTTGTAATTTTTCAGAAATTTCAATAGAAGCTTGATTGTCAGCAAGTTTTGTGTCTAATTCTACTAACATTTGGTTTTCGGATTTATTTCCAACTAGATCATCCTTCAATTCTTTATTGGAGGAATTAATATTATTCTTTATTGTATCCACATTACAAGACATTTCTATCTCTTTTTCTTCTTTAAGATCAATGTCCTCATTTGTTTTATCAGTTTTTATAAGTTTCTTACTTCGTTTTGATTTACTTCTTATTCTTTCAGAACCTTTTTCTTCACTTTCAGATTGACTTTCATCAGTCTTATACATCTTTTGATCTACATCTTGCACATATATATCAGATTCCAAGTATTTTTTATTTGGTTTTCGTTTTCTGCCACTGTATGAACGTTCATTATCAGATTCTGAAGTCCTACTTTCTAATTCAAATTTCTCAAAAAGTTTTAAATCAGTTTTATCTCTTATTCTTGGACTTTCACTTTCACTGGCACTTCCACTAGTACCAATACAAAGGGACTCTGATTTTCTTGGTCTCCCTCTACGTTTACGAATTTGTGGAATTGACTGATTATTATTTAATATAATGCTTGTAGGTTTTGAATTAGGCACTTGATCTTGATCTAGCATATCTACATCTGAATTTTCACTTTGTTCTGGAAGTGTTTCAGCAGACTCAGAAACAATTTCGTCTTCTGTTTCTGTGGTAAGTCGTTCAGATAAATTTTCTTCAGTTTCTTTTAAGGAATCTGTACTTTCTACATTTTCATTATCTGTAGCTGTGTCTTTAGACTCTATTTGTTTATCATTGACAGCATTCTTTTCTGTATTTAACTCTTTGTTTGCTGTTAATTCTTTGCTAACATTTACTGTTACGTTTGTTTTAGTAGAACCTTGTGCTTCAACCTTTTTTGTATGATTTACAGCATTTTCATTTTCAGCTTCAACTCTTTCAACTTCAAATATTTCTACAATTTCCAGTTCCGTTTCACAAGTACTAGATTTTTTAATATTTTCTGATACCTTTTTAGATTCAATTTCTTCCTTTGTCTGCACAACTTCATTATTTGTCTGTTTATCAACTGCAACCTTCTCACTTTTTTCTAAATCTTGTTCATCTAAAGGTGACTGTGTACGTAATTTTTCACATTTTTTCGGACTAGTATCATTATCTTCATCTTCAGTTTTATAATTTTCAATTTCTTTTTCTTGTTCTGTTTTCAGAGCTTGACTCATTTCAAATTCCTTTATGATTTCTTTCTTTTGATGAAATGCACGTGCTTTTTTCCTTACAGGGGGTATGGATGGCTCTTCTTCATGAAAATCAAAACATGATAATAATGATTTTTTATCATCTTTATCAGATGTGTTAAATTTACCTTCATTATCAACATTAAAAGTTTCCTTTTCTGTTTGTGATTTATTAATGGATTCATTACTCTCAACATCAAGCACTCTGTCATTTTTTTCTGATTCTAATTGCTTATCAAAGAGATTTGTCTTAAAATTTTGTGAAGTACTGGTACTATCTGATAAAGAATCGTCCGTTACGCTAATTGTTGTTAACTTTTCAGTTTCTTTAAGTAATTTTTCTGTTTCTTCAATAATTTCATTGGTATCTGTTATTGTATTGTTCTTTTCATTAGATTCTTCTGACTTCTCAAAATCAAATTGATCTTTTGTTGGTGAACTGCTCATAGGTGTTAAATCAGGTTTACTCTGATTTAAACTAAGTTCTTCATCTGATTCATCTTCCCAGTCTGCTAATATAGTGTCACGAATTTTAGGATCTGAAGTCTTCTTCTTTTTAGCAGCTTTCTCACTTTGTTTAGTTTGTTTTCTTTTACCAGATTCACTGTTACTTTTACTTTTATTTGATTGACTTTTCTCTTTCTTTACATATTTTCTTTTAGGAGTTTCTACTTCAGAATATCTACTCCTATACTGAGAATATGTCTTTACTTTTGATTTTGACATTGGTGAAATTCCAGACCTATGACTTTTTATGTGACAGATGATAACATTAACTCGTGAAGAAGTAAAATTGCAGAAATGACAAGGATATTGTGGAGAACCAGTATTGTTTGGTGTAGGTGGTAAACTGCTAGGTTGTTGACGAATTCGAACTTCATGATCACTTTCTTTTAAAAATCGTGGATGCGTGATTTTTCGTACAATTTCAATACTATCACTTCTTCTACTACCTTCTTCACGTTCTCGTTTCTTTTTAGGAATTTTTTTGTCACCAAACAAAGCTGATATGTTTGGCTTTTCTTCTGGACAAAATTTATCATGGCTTAATATGTCAGGATCACCTCCTGTTAATTTTTCAGCCATTTCAACATCTCCAGGAAATTTGTCCATATATTTTGAACCATCTCTACTTCTGTTTCTATATTTATCTGAAAATAACATTGTAAAATATGATCATGTGTATTACTTTTAAAAAAATACAATATAACATTTTTGTATCTAAAATCAGATTTGTTATTTTACTTTATTGATATAAATATGTGTACAGTACATTTACCTAGTCCTTTCCTGATAAAGTCATCTTTGAGAGTACAATTATATTTGTAAATCTGTTGATAGTTCTTGACAAATTCACTGGAAAAAATGAAAAAAATGTGTAAAAAGTGTCAATATATTAATATGATAAATACATAAATACATATAAATTAAAAATATTAT